AACTCCTGAGCTCAAATGATCCACCCGCCTCGGCCTCCCAGAGTGCTAGCCTTCCTTGCCTTTCGATTCAGCATGTCTTGCAGACTGGGCCATTTTGTGCACACGGCTCTGTCTTATGCTTCAGAGGCTGTTGGGAATTCTATTTTTTGGGTGATCCCTGTTTATTTAACCAGTCTCTGATGAACAGTGCTGTGGTCTGAATATTTGTGTGCTTCCAAAATTCACATGATGGAATCCTGACCCTCAATGTGGTAGTAGTATGAAGTGGGACGTTTAGGAGGTGATCAGGTCACAAAGGTGGAGCCCTCATGAATGTGGTCCATTCCCCTGTAAAAGAGGCTCAAGGGGACTCATTCATCCCTTTTGCCACGTGAGGACAGATAGAAGATACCATCTATAGGGAACGGGCCTCACCAGACCCCAAATCTACGGGTGCCCTGACCTTGAATTTTCTAGCCTCCAGACTCACGAGTAACACATTTCCGTTGTTTGTAGATTACCCAGTCTAAGGTATCTTGCTACAGCGGCCCGAATGGACCGAGGCAAATGGGTAGCTTTGTTTCCCACCTTTTGTGCCGCAGTGAGGGTCCTGGTACTTTGTGCACATGCACACGCCCCTGGGTTCAGTAACGAGTAAATAGCATCACTGGGTAGCTTGATGTGTGCAACCTTCCGCTGAAACAAAAACACTCATGTAAACAGTCTGACAGTTTGTGGTTCTCTTCAATTCATGTTTCAGCTTTTGTTAGAAACATACCACTACAGAATCGATCATTACAGGATTCTTATAGGATGGAAAGAGAGAGTCAGTCATAACTATCCAGGAAGGTGTCTGCAAACAGGATGGCGTGTTTCCTGTCAAATCAATCTTCTCTCCCTCCTCCGTCCCTCTTTCTTCCTTGCTTCCCCTCCCTCTCTCCATCCCTTTTGCTCCCTGCATCCATTCAGTCCACTCAGTGAGTGTCCACTGACAGGTGGATTTGCACATAGGAGCAGGAATGGGGAGAGTGGTTTGAGGCTTGTGTGTGTGTCTCTGGCCTTTGGACAACTTAGAAAGGGGCCAACAGGAATGGGTTACTAGAAGTGGAATCTGTCCTTAGCAGAGCCACACTCCACCCTGAGCACCGGTTTACTGGAATGAGGATGCTATTTTTAAGAAACGGCATTGTGTTTCATCATGGAAATTTTAGCATCTGAGCAGGCAGCGTGCTGATTCGCTCATCCTTAGGGTCCTGAAGCACAGAGACTGTGTTTGCTTGGCTCTGTACCCCAGCACCCCACCAGGGCCTGTCCTGTAGGAGGAAGGGGAGAAGGAATGTCTGCGGTGGGCAAGCAGTTATGTGAGTGATAGTTGCCACATCTGGTTGGTCTCACTTCAGCTGGTGACATCCAGGGGGCTGGCAGGGCTGGGGGCTTCTCCTTTCCAGCCGTTGAGTGCTGGGGCGGTGAGGTGAGCATTCCAGTGTGGGACGCTTTTTGTTGCAGTGCTTAAGGCAGCTTGCACTTCTTGAAATGCCTTATTTATAGGGTCTCCTGAAGGACAAGCTGCCTTTTTGGGGTTTTCAGAGTGGATTTGTTTTACCAGAGCCGTCCAGATTCCCAAGTGTTTCCTTGCCTTGCTCTAGGGTGGCCCGGGAGCAGGGTGCTAGTGGGTTGGCACTTCTGAGCTGCCCTCTTGGGAAGGCCAGATTGAGGGCAGCATTTGGGGTCAGTCTGCCGACAGCTGGTATGCTGGCCCTCTCCAGGTTATTTTGGGCTCTGAGACATCATCTTTCTGGCTTGTTCCTCCAACGTGTTGCTGAAAAGGAGAGCCTAGGGTGGAGAGGAGATCCCCCCGCCCCCCCTGCCACTCCATTCTCCTTTATATAGTAATCTTGGTGTAACCAGCAGCTTTGACAGCATGGGGTGGCGGAAAGACACTAGGCTGTGGAGTGAGACCAGCATGGTGCAAGGCCAGGTGTAGCTGTTCCTGACATCTTGGCAAACTTAGATGCTTTATTGAACTGTTTTGAGCTTCCCTCTCTCTGTATAACGTAAAAGTAATAATAGTCTTTACTGCAATGTATTTACTTTCTTAACTTAAATCTTTATTTTTAAATGAATCCTGCTTTTCGAAATATGGTTATGTGCCACATAGTGATATTTTGGTCAATGATGAACTGTATTTATGATGATGGTCTCATAAAATTATAACACTGTATTTTTACTATCCCTTTGTTTAGATCTGTTTAGATACATAGTACTTATCATTGTGTTATAACTGCCCACCTTATTCTGTGTAGTAATATGCTGTACAGGTTTTTAGCCCGGGAGCGGTAGGCTGTACTGTAGAGCCAAGGTGTGCAGTAGAGTGTACCACCTACGTTTGTGCAAGTATATTCTCTGATGTTCACACAGTGATGAAATCGCCACGGCACATTTCTCAGAATGCATCCCCATTGTTAAGCAACACATGACTATAAATAATTTGGGCTTGAGAACAAAGCACCTTTTAGTTGGACCAGTTCGTAGAAGACTCCACTCCGTATCTTTTAATCTCACTGAAAGATGAAGCCCCCACATATGGCTGTGGTCCCAACCCAATGAAGATGCTTAGAGAAAAATGTTCTGAGAACACTGGACAGATAGATGCGGGTGTGGGCGTGGCCTCAATGATGTGGGCATGGCCTCGATGATATGGGCGTGGCCTTGATGGTATGGGTGGGGCCTCGATGGTGTGGGCGGGGCCTTGATTTGTGCGCCTGTCTTTCTCTCAGGTGCTGCGAGTGGCTGAGATGCTGTGGTGGAGGGGAACCCAGGCCCCGCACCGTCTGGTTGGGGCACCCGGAGAAGAGGGACCAGAGGTATCCTCGAAATGTCATCAATAATCAGAAGTACAATTTCTTCACGTTTCTTCCCGGGGTACGTGCAGGCAGGGACTACGTTCTTTTCTTTTTCCTATTACCAATACGTACTTGGTACCAGACTTAAGAGACTGAGGTCGCCGTGGCAGATTTTGTGAACACCCTATATCTTCTCCCTGCCACCTTGGCCGCTGGCTATTCCTACTCTCAGGCCCGAACACCCAGGGAGCAGGGGGCCTGCTTTCTATCTGCAAGACTGTGAGACTCCACTTTGTCAGTTAAAATAGTTTCACGTGTAAATGATCTGTTGCTTAAAGTGAAAAAGCTATTTTGGGGACCTAGTGTTACAACCAGAACATTAAAAATGAGTATCAGCAGTGCTTAAACCCCCTTCCCGTCACGACACGTTATAGACAAGTTGGGAGATAAAAGTGTAGAGAAAAACATAAGTTTTTATCCTACCATCTAAGAGAATTTTAATTAATATTTTTGCTAATAACTGTTTCTGAGGTCATAACACTCCTACATTAATTTACACAAATCTGGGGGCATATACTCAGGAAACCTTCCCCCCAACACAGACATAAAGTAAGTATCTATTTTTACCCACCATGGCCTCCACACACACTAATCGACTTCGAGAAGCAGCAGCAACAATCGGCTCCAATGCAGAAAGGAAGAAAATGGCAATGTCAGCTACCGAGTGTTAATACAGAGGCACAAATCTATTATACAGTAGTTCAAGGTCAATTTGAATTTTTTTAAGGCTAATTTCGACTATATTCATTGCCAGCTGCCTTAACCTACAAACCCTCCTCCCCCCATCTCAGTATCTTAAGTGAGGAAAACTTGCATTTCTCATTCATGGAAAGTCTGATGCATATTGGGCCACCCTCCTCCACCTCCTAGTTACTCCGTCGGGAATACATGCCACCAAAATCACCATGGCGGGGCAAGTCACGATGCCTCTTAACTGCCTTAGCCTTGAAGAGACACAATATTTCCACTCATTGCCCATTGGCCCAAACTAGTCATGTGATATTGCTCTCACTCCCAGGGAACATGGGAGCGGTCAGACCCCTGCCAGAACCCAGCAGCCACCCAGGGTAGGATTCTATTTTCTTATTTTATGGCGTTGAGACCATGTCATGGACATAACTTTTTGTCTTCCTTTTTGGACTCAACCTTCCAGCATAAGCATTTCCCATTAAAACCTCTACGTAAACAACATTTCGAGTGTCTACTTGTACTTACAAAATGTGTAGCGTAAGAAATAAAACAACAGATATAGCTGATGTTCCTTTGGGCCCCTTCCCAGTGAATATCCCCCCCAGGAAGTAACCACTATCCTGAATTTGGTGTTTACAATTTCCGTGTTTATCATTATTTACTTTTTTACTTCTACGAATAATATTTTTATTATCCATGTGTGTTTTCCTAAACAACACATGCAAGTGTTTAAGCTTTATGTGAAAGGTATCATGTAAATTGTATTCTTGTGTAGGAATGTTTTTAAATATTATACTTCCTGCTAAACCTTCCCAGCCTCACCAGACAAGCTCTGAATGTCTCTTTTCTGTTGTCTCTGTACCTTCCAGGTGCTGTTCAACCAGTTTAAATACTTTTTCAACCTTTATTTCTTACTTCTCGCCTGCTCCCAGTTTGTTCCTGAAATGAGACTTGGCGCCCTCTATACCTACTGGGTTCCCCTGGTGAGTAAATCGGCATTGTTTGTTCAGTAACCTTAGAGGTTTGGAAACAGAAAGTTCTTTGTTCCTCTTACCCGAGCCTCTGGAATGGGACAGTGGCCTTTTAAGGGAAAGGAAGCCTTCATGCCAACACATTGGGAGTCCCCACCAGTCATTCATTCAGCCAGTCGGCTGTTCAGTCCCTCATTATTTCAACAAGTATCTATTGCATGCTGTTGTGTATGGCACCGTTCTAGACTCTTGGGACAGAGTGGCAAGTGAGAAAGACAAATCCTCTGTCCTCATGGCTTGTGGTACAGCGTGAGCATGCAAATCCAAAAATCTGAAATCTAGGCCGGGCGCCGTGGCTCACGTCTATAATCCTAGCACTCTGGGAGGCCGAGGCAGGAGGATCGCTTGAGGTAAGGAGTTCGAGACTAGCCTCAGCAAGATTGAGACCCCATCTATACTAAAAAAATAGAAAGAAATTAGCTGGTCAACTAAAAATACATAAAAAGTAAATTAGCTGGGCATGGTGGTGCACACCTGTAGTCCCAGCTACTCGGGAGACTGAGGCAGGAGGATTGCTTAAGCCCAGGAGTTTGAGGTTGCTATGAGCTAGGCTGACACCACGGCACTCTAGCCTGGGCAACAGAGCAAGACTCTGTCTCAAAAAAAAAAACAACAACTCTGAAATCCAAAATGCTCTACAGTCTAAACCTTTTTGAGCACCAACATGACACTCAAAGGGAAATGCTCATGGGAGCATTTTGGATTTTGCATTTTTGGATTTGGGATGCTTAACTGGTAAGTATAATGCAAATGTTCCAAAATGTGAAATCTGAAGCACTTTTGGCCTGACGCATTTCAGATAAGGGATGCTTGACTTGTATTTAAATTGTTTTCTCAGATCACCTTTTCTTTTTACTCTATGTAGAGTGTTTCGGTGTGAGGGCTTGGAAAAATAACGGAGTCTCTGCATTAATATATGTGAAGTATAGTAGAACTGACCAGCCCTTCCATTCCTTCCCTTGCCTCCTTTTCTTTCTTCCTTCCCTTTGGCATATGATGGTTGAGCATCTGCTTTGTGCCAGGCACCGTGATAGGTGCCAAGGGTGCAGCAATGAATGGGATAGACAACAATTTCTGCTGATGGGAAGGGGGAGAATATTCCAGGGGGCAGTGATGCAAAGGCCCTGTGGTAAGCATGTGCTTAGAGCATTTGAGGAACAGAAAGAAGCCCAGTGTGACTGAGGTGTGGAGGGGATGGAACTGATGATCACCGTATCCAGTGCTTAAGAGCACAGGCACTCCTGGCCTTTGACTAAGCTTGCTGCTTGACGGAGACAGCAATGTCTGTTGTCCAAGGGAAAGATGCTCAAAGGTTCTCTCTCGTTCCCAGCATCCCACCTCTTTAACTAGAACAGAGAAGCCAGAAGTCCTGACTTTCAGTGTAGGCAGTAATTGTGGTTTTTTTATTATTATTTTTCTTTTTTTAATGGAAGCTTCTCCCCCAGCCCCCACCCTGCTGTCTCCCAGCTGACTTGCCTGGTTTCCCTTTGACTGTGGCTTTGGGTAGAAGCCAGGCAGGTCCATAGCTTGCCTCTAATGTTTGGTGGCCTCTGGCAGTCTGGAGGCTTCTAACTCCACACCGTGGGCCCTTATGTAGTCAGCTTTTCCTGTGATGGTTAAGTCGGGGGATATTGTCTTGCATTTCTGCCTTTCTTCTCAGAGACTGTGGAGAAGGGGATTTGGGGTCAAAAACAAATTAGCATCAATTTCTAGATGACCAGAGCTGATTCCCTCTAATAGATTTGCGTGTAGAGAAGCAAGTTTTAGTTTTCGGCTAGAACACATTTTGAAATATCTTCTGACCACCCTGAAGGTCTTCTCATTTAAGCCCAGTTATAAGCACGGTGGTTCTGAATGAGGGCCGTGGAGCCGAATAGTTTGGGTTCAGCTCTTAGTTGCACTTTGAGAAGTTGTGTGATTTGAACAAGCCTACTTTTCTGGGCCTCAGTTTTGTCATCTGTAAAACAGGGATGATCATGTCTACTTCCTTGGTTTGTTGGGAGGATTAAAGGAATTACTGCAAGCAAAATACTTCATATAGCTATATAGAAAATTCCAGGAAATGTCCTCATTTTAATTTTTACATTTTGCACTAATGACATGTCCACTGTTTGGATTAAGTTTTAGCTATTTTATTTTTTTTTCTTTTTCTCAGACATAGTGTCACTCAAACTCCTGGGCTCAAGTGACCCTCCTGCCTCAGCCTTCTGAGTAGCTGGGACCACAGGCGCATCACCGTGCCCGGCTAATTTTTCTATTTTTTTGTAGAGGTGGGGTCTCCCTGTGTTGCTCAGGCTGGTCTTGAACTCCTGGCCTCACATGATACTCTTGCCTTGGCCTCCCAAAGTGCTGGGATTACGGGCGTGAGCCACTGCACCTGGTCTGTTTTAACTTTTAAAAATTTTTTTGTTGGTATTGATATATTAGGGAGAAAAATTCCTCAGGAGAGAGCTGACATAATTCATAACATCGTTTGTATGATGACCAAATTATAGATCTAGACTTTTTCTGTTATTGAGATATAATCGACATACCGTAAAATGCAGACCTTTAAGCTTTTGATTCAGTAGGTTTTCACAACACCCATGTGAACACCCACCTCAATCAAGATAATAGAACGTTTTAGTTTCCATTAGCCCAGAAAGCTCCCCAGCACCCATTCCGTGACCTCACCCCTGCCCCAGCCTTGCTGATTTCTATCTCCCATAGATTAGTTTTGCTTTAGTAAGTCTATTTTTGATTTTTAACTTAACAAAAGAGGTTTAGCACCTTCAGAATTGCTTGTCTACTACGTAGACCTGCCTCTGATTTCTTTACAAGCTCAGACAACCTCAGCCTCTTCCCCATTAAAGCTTCTTTCTCAATATCTGTGGATATTAAGGACCTCCTCAATTAGGTGGTTGGGATTTATTTCTGGACTACATTTGCATCTCTTTGTAAAGTGATTTTTAGCCTAAGGGATGGCATATCCTCTAGCATTAATGAGAACTGCGTGTGTGTGTTGGGGGGAGATGTCATAACTTAGGGGGTGGTATTTATTTGCAGAAGGGAAGTTAGTGAACGCCTCCTGTCTTTGTATGGGCACACACTTGCCATTAACATCTATGGGATTTAGCCAGGCCCACGCAGAGAGAAATAGAAACTGGAACATTCGAAAAAAGAAACAACAACAAAAACTCGAGTTCTGGCACAGAACAACCCAACAGCAGTGTGGTAGGGCCGTCGGAGCCGGGTTTCTGCAAACTGGGTCTGTGCTGCTCCTGGAACAGGGTTTCTCTCACCTCCCTATGTGGTCTGGTTATGCTTTGATTCTGAAATGTACCAGTTTTCTTTCGGCTGCAGTGTGTACTTTACATCTGATTGGAAACAGGAGTAATCCTTTGATTGTAAAGATGTATGGGTCTTGGGAGGAGTTTCACAAAGCAGCACATCTCTGGGTAGATTTACATAAGAGATTTAAAGTCTTTTGAATGTAAGTTAATATATGTCATGGGGTAAACAGTATGAGAGTGAAATCCTCCGAGAAACATGACCAATAACCCCCGGGCGGTTATGCTGTCTGTATTAAAAAATAACTGTTCTGGCAGGCTTTACGAGGGGCAGCGGGGAGGGATGACATGGACAATGCATGAATGTTTTTGCCTTTATTGTTATAAGAGGAAAAATGTAGATTGGAAATAGATTACGCTATGGGCGACTCCCTGTCCCCGCCAGATTTTATGAGATGGGGTACCCAACTCAGGGGAAGGTTGGGGAAGCTTTTAATTTTTATTAGTTGGTACTTACGCAATTAATACTTTAATGTGATCTCTTTATAAAAACTGGAGACCTGACAGGTAAGGCTGAAGTCCCCTTGGATCCCTTCCCACCCTAATCCTCCTCCCCTTCCTGGCACAGGAATCTAACCAGTGCTTAAGGAAATTGGAGAACATTTAACAGTGTATGGAATCTTGTGGTCGTAGGAATGGTGTTACATTGTACGTCCTGGAACGGTGATTTCCCCACTGTCAATGCCACGGATGTATCTTAATTCTTTTTAACTGTTGCCAGGTGGTCCATCCTATGGCTCCACCCACCCAAGTTTCTGTAGATGCAGAATAACGGGGCAGTTAAGAGCAAGATTTCCTGTCAGATTCCTGTTTATCACTCAGTAGCTTTATGTGCCTTGGGTAAGATGACTCAACTTCTCTGAGCCTTGGTTGCCTCACCCGCATGGGGATCTCAGCAGCAGGTGTGTATCTCACAGGGCAGTTGTGAGGACGAGACGCACCTTGAGTGGTGCCCAGTATGTGGCGGGTGAGAGAGGGACGGTAGTGGTCACCGTCACTTGCCTGTGGAGGGACAGTTTGGGTGTTCTTGGGTTTTTCACCCTCACAAACCCCCAGGTGGTGAACATGGATGTCCTCGTACGTATGTGGCAGCGAGTGTTTCTCTAGGGCGGTGTTTCTCTATGTGCGTGTGTGAGTGCGTGTTCTCTAAGAGAGATTGAGAGAATAGGGCTTGCTGAGGCCTGTGCATTTGGAACAGTTCCCAGGTCCTGCCCTGCTGCCCTCCTGAGTGACCCTCTCGCCCTTTTTGCCCCCGGCACCAGAGGAGGACGGTTGGTTTCAGCAGGGCTTACCCCCTGTCCACTCTCCCTGCAGGGCTTCGTGCTGGCCGTCACCGTCATCCGAGAGGCGGTGGAGGAGATCCGATGCTACGTGAGGGACAAGGAAGTCAACTCCCAGGTCTACAGCCGGCTCACAGCAAGAGGTCAGCCTCCTGGCTCCAGGGCCACAGGGTTGCAACTCAATCACAGGCCGCTGACAGTCGGGGGAGCAGAGTTCAAGGCCCGGGCCGCGGGCGTGCGGGCGCCGCTTGGTGGGACCGTCACTGGGCACCAGGGAGGCCTCCATCTGCCTGGGGCCCGGTGGGACTTGCGCGGCATCCTCGGGCCTCTGAGAGTTGGCCCTGTCAAAAAACTTGCACATCACCAACCTGGAATTAAATTCTGTGTTTGGCATCCTCCTTTGCTAATCCCGTCCCCCTCCCCCATGAGCGAGGAAGGAGGACGCCCCTCCTGGTCACATGGGAGGCTGGGAACAGCTTTCAAAAATACTCTTTCAACAGTGATTACTTTAAAATCAAACTGTTGCAACATTAATTTTTTTAAAAAGCAACAGATTTAAATAAGTATTGCATCCATAGAGATTTCTTTGAAGGCATCTTGTAAATCCTCGAAATCGTGATGTAGAGAACGGGTAGTCTGACCCGAAGAGAAATGACCAGATAACCTTTAATCATTGACCCCCTTGCAAGACATGTTCATTTTAAATGGTGGAACTTAAAACCCCACCAAACACACCCTTGGAAAAAAGCAACAAAACAAAGCAGCCAGTGTTGACTTCTGTTTTTAACTACAATAGATTTACGTTAAGGTTGCATTCAGAAATGAGAGAACGTTCCCTAAAGTTTGCTGATCTGGCTGAGGAAAGACATAATCAATTGTTCCCTAAGATTACTCACCCCATTCAAGGATTAATACTGTTTAAGGAGAGGCTGAGAGGAATAAAAGCTATTTCTTGCCTTCAGGAAATTGAGAATTTGGAGAGATAAGATGGGTAGAGAGATGCCTAAGGGACTTAGCACAGGAGCTGGGGTCTAAACTGCTTTAGCTTCCAAACAGACGGTCCATCCATGAGTTTTCCTTCCAGTAAAAACGGAGGTATAGGTTTTGGGCTCAAAAACAAAAAAAAAATGATATATTAATAACATTTTCCAAGGGCATGAAAATATTTTGTGTTAGTGTATTTGAATACATTTTCATGGTTGGTGGTCTTAAAAATTTGCAAGCCTCTCGGACAAGGGGGAATTTAGAGTTGGTATAGAAAGGCTTTATTAATGCTAAACTACTGTATTTAGGACATTTTGCTACTTAAAGAAAAAAAGTCAGCATGATCTTTGCAGAGGCAGGTGGCTTGGGCTTTCCACGTGGGTAGTCAGAAGACCACTCTGGAGGGCGTTTTTTTGTGGCTCGTGTATATTAATCCTCCTTTAATAACATATTCTTACTATAACATTTAAAATGCTTGGCAACCGACAAAAGCCCCATGGGAGAGGGTGCGGTGGATCTCTTTAGGGCTCAAGAGAAGGGTCTACGGATTCTGTTTATTCATCTATCCAGGCTTCGGCCCTTTCTTGGTTCTTTTCATATTGCAGTTGCTTTTCCTGTGAATGATTTTTCTGCCCTCTGCAGCACAGCCCTTCCCAGCTCTTGCTTTAGTTTAGCTTCACTCAGCTCCTGAAAAGATCCTAAGCAGAATTGGCAGATGGCTCTAGCATTAAAAACTTGTCTTCCTTTGTTGGCCTCCTTTTGTGGCCCTTGGTGTCTATTGTCATGCCAGGGAGACTGTAGGGAAAACAGAACACAGTTCTGAATATTCACCCAGACCTCAGCTCTGCAATTTGTTTTGAAAGCCCAAGAAAACACTGAAGAAACTGTCAGCTTGGAAAGTGATGGAGGCCAGTTTAGTTATTTGATACACTCGGTGAGGGGGAGCGTCACAAATCCCAACTGGAAGACTGCAGGGAGAGGGAGGAAAAAAAAGGTCTTTTTTTTTTTTTTTTTGAACTGCCTGTTGAATTACTTAATAATATTTGCTCGAGCGGAAACTTTTTCGCCATCATCTTCATTTGGTAAGTTCAGGCAAAATGAAACAAGTATGTGTGTGCTTATTCATGAAGAACTGTTTTCC